TGCAATTGCTGTGGTGGGGAGGGTGTTTTCTTACTGGTGAAGTTTGATAGCTGTATGTTCACTTCTGAGACTGCTATGTAGTTAAATGGTGTTGGGGATAAGGGCGAGCGGTTTAAGGTATTAAAGGTTTTATCAAAAAGCAACTTTTTAAAAATTCTTTAACAGCTATATTTTGAAGAACTATGGCATTCAGTATTACTCAATGAGAGATATTGATCGCCTTGGAATCCAGAAAGTTATGGAAAGGACATTTGAACAACTAATGAGCAGGTAAGTCATGGCTGAAGATGAACAGGAGTGAAAGCTTCAGAGGGGTGGGCAAGTTTGTCTAACAGGAAAAACTTAAAAAAAACAAAAACAGTCTAGTAGCACCTTTAAAGACTAAATAGTTACAAGAGGCTGATAAGAACCGTTAACCAAAGACATTAACATGTGGAAGATAATGTGCGAGCCATCCGCTATCCCAGTTCATAACTTCATTTCACAAGTTTAATTTTTATGCAAATGGTAAGTTCCAACCCTTCTCTGTGTATTTGGCTTGTGGAATTGGTCTGAAACAAAAGGGTGACTTGGCGCTCGATTAATGAGCATCCAGGAAGATTAAGGAAGATTAAGGTGTTCTCCAACAAGTTTCTGTGTATTGCCCTTTCAGATATCTGATTTGTTCTTTCCCACAGAGACTGTCCCGTTTGGCCAATAGACATTGTAGTGGGGCATTGCTGGCATAGATCACATTAGTGGATGTGCAGTTAAATGAGTTCTGAGTTGATGGCTGATGTGGTTGGATCCAGTGATGAAATCGCTGGTATAGATGTGTGGGCAGAGTTGGCACTAGGTCTGATTGATAGAGGTGTGTTGCATGATTACTGGAAAGAAATTGTTTGAGGTTAGGGGGTTGTCTGTAAGCGAGGACTGGCCTTTTCCCCCAATGCCTTTGAGAGTGAGGGGTTATTTTCCAGGATAGGTTGTAGATTGTTGATAATGCATTGGAGGCATTTAAGGTGTGGACTGATAGTGAATTCTGTTGTTTACTCTTTTGGACCTGTCTTATCTTGAAGTAGTTCATGTCTGGGTACTTTCTTGGTTCTGTCAATCTATTTTTTCACTTCTCCAGGTGGGTATTTCAATGTTAAGAACGCTGTATATAGCTCCTGTAAATGTTTCTGTGGGATTGGAGAAGTCCAGTCTGTTTTAATCCTTGGGCTCTTACTGCAGCTTAAAGCTTTTTAATACAGCTAGAGCTTATCAGGTTTGGCTTTCCTTGCCTGCTGGGACCTCCCCTTCAGCTGCATTTTGCTCTCTGGCTTTCCCAGTGAGATTGAGCTAATCTTCTCTGCACTGTTCCATGGAGCCAGACAGCATGGGCTCGAGTGCCAGAACTGGAACTGCTATAGCTGCTTATGCTGAGTCAAGTCTGGTAGCAGAGGCAGCCTGAAGTGGCATTAAAGGTAGGAAGCCTGGAGAAGAGTACAGCAACTGAGACTGGTGGATGATGGAGTGATCAAATGACAAGCTTTCCTGGCCCGTACTTTTTAAAGAGGGTGAAGGAGAAAGGAGTTCGTTTTGGGAGCCAAAGCACAAGGAAATACTTGGAAAAATCCAGTCATTGGTTTTACCCACTTGTGAACTGTAGTTTCTAAGGGGGGTTAAACAATGGGAAAGAGGGTTGCCACAGAACTTGGAGTGTGTTGTGAAGAAAAGTGGATCCTGACCACATGCATAGTAGCAAAGTTATACAGATAGCAAAATACCAAGCCATCAATTTTACTTTTTCTGCAGAAGACAAAGACCAATTCACCTGAGTTTTGATATTGATGCTTTTGATCCTTCACTGGCTCCAGCAACAGGAACTCCTGTTTTAGGTGGACTAACATATCGGGAAGGCATGTATATTACAGAGGAAATATACAATACAGGTAAGAATCAACCAGCAGTGTTTAACTAAACCCAACTATCACACAAACCCCCTAGCCAAGAGCTAGTTTTGCCTTTTACAATAAGTTACCCACAGTCTTAAGATATTATAACAGTTTACTTTAAACCAAACTTGGATTTCATGTTGCTTCTCTCTAACCAGACTGGAGCTAAGTAACAAACTTTACATCAGTGATTTTGAAGTGATTATCATAAACTGTACAAGTTCCTACTTCAGATAGCAGTGAATAGATGGGGCCAGACTTTTAGAACTTTACAGATGCATAAATGACTAGCTTTGCATCCAGTTTCTTTTTTGCATTAAATGTGGTAATGGTGCACACAATAATTAGGCAAAACTATTTTGCATATACCCAGTTCTAAAAATCTGTCCCTCATCTTGGAAGTGATCCTAAAACCCAAGGCTCAAACTTCCACTGAAAAGGAAAAGGGGCAGACTGCTAGAATCGCATTTTTCTTCTCTCAATTTTCAACATCCACTGGATCACACTAGCTTCCATGAAAGTGAAATACTTGTGTTGTCTCAGAACAAGTCTTGCTAAAAGATGACTCAGTTGCATGTGCACTGAGTTTTAAAAGTACCATAAAGGTTTTCAAAATGGGGCTAGGACCCTTCACTTTAGTTCAGCTGAAAAATGCAGTTATAGTTCAATGGCTTATGTTTTTAGACCTTTGCTCACAAGCCACTGTTACAGTTCAGTGGCTGACAACCATAACTCTATACCTAACATCCATCTAGATGTGCTCATAGTATAGGCTGGACAGATCTTAGGCCTGTTCTTCAAACAGCTTGAGTATTCACATTTGACATCTATTAGCTAGAAGGGGTCTTTGAGCAGGATCCAGGACCTGCCCAATGATTGAAATTCTGGTACTTGATAAGCTCATCTTTTCCAAGAGTAGTATAAGACACAAACTAGCTGGTGACGAGTGGGATTCAAATCCTGGCTCTGCCATTGTAGCCCTGTGAAACTGCACCCTGGCATTGTAATAGGCTGTGCTGGTTCTGAGTGTGTATCGTGCTGGACTTCTGTTCCTGCTCTGATTATTTTTTTTAAATTTTCTTAGGATTGCTTTCAGCTGTGGACTTGGTTGAAGTAAACCCATTGCTTGGAGCCTCTCAAGAGGAAGTGAACGCTACAGCCAGTCTTGCAGTGGATGTGATAGCTACGTGCTTTGGGCAGACAAGAGAAGGCACACATGCTGTTCTTTATGAACTCCCAACGCCCAGTTCACCAGATGAATCAGACGGTGAGGAGCAAGTGAGGCTTTAGAACCCCCACATGTTGGAAGACACTTCACATTGGGCATTCCAGGGCTCTGCTGAAGCACTTGATAGATTAATGGTTGTCAAACACTGAGTGTTTTACTTCGTTTTTAAAGAGACTAGTTTTTCCATTTGACCAATAACTACTGTATGATGTAATAAGTTGTATTCATTTATGCAATTAGATGTACATTTAGCAAAATAAAAACACTGAATATCTTGTTACAGTCTTACATGACTTCAGTCTTAGCCTTTGCATTTTTCTTTTTAGCCTCCATGTCTTTCTAGAGCCAGTCCAGTAGTTCAGTTGAAAAATGCTGTCAGAACCCACCAACTCAATCACAGGGCTTTCAACTGGAATAGACACATCCACTTCTACAGCCAGTTACCCACTCTCTCAGCTATGTCCCTTCATAATCCTTGAGACACCTGGGAAGACCAATCTGACCAAACACAAGCTCAGCTCTTGCGGAAGAACTTGTAGTAGACCACGCCTCCTAGGATGGCTAATTCTATGAGGATGATGACAGACAGCAGCAACTTGTTTGTTATAACTCTAGAACAAGAAAAGGCAGTTTAGGACCATGATACCAACGGCTTGTACATAGTGATAAGACTTAGTAGGTCAAATCTAAAAGCTCTTGGAGTGTGTAAGACTGTTCTACTACCTTAGAGTGTTTTAAATCTTGATTACCAATGGAACTTATTTCAACCATTTGTTCCTCCCAGTTACCAAAAGTTGATTTAGTTTTTAAAACTTGTCATTAATCTTAATGTACTTCCATTTGTAGAGACTTATCCACATAGCTCTCAAAGAGGAAGAAGGGATTAAGCAGTGCTTTCCAGCAGTTCTCTGGAACTTCTGTTTGTTCTCCATTTTTCTACTTCCTGTGATGCTGCATTCTCTTCCACCCCCCACGTAGTGTACATTTATCCAACTGTTTTAGTCTCACACAGTAAAGTGGGCAGGACCATCCCATGTTTACCCAGTAAGTCTAAGTCAAGTCACAGGTACTACTTGGGAGCAGAGACTCCCCAAATAGGACTCAAGTGCCAAAACCACATTAGTGTACATTAGCTTATGTAAGCCACCATTACTCACGCATTTTAACAAAGCTGAGAAGATGTTATAGTATTGAAGACATTTATCACACTGGTCCCTTCTGCTAAAGTGGCCTTTGACTAGTCTTACCTGTGGAAATAACTTCCAACATAATTCCCTTTGAACAACAGTGCCCACCTCTACCAATGCTTTCCAAGTGTACCCAAGGATAGGTTGCATAATGATAAAAGCAGCTCATCAAGAATTCCCACTGCCCTCAGAAGGTAGCCATGCTACATCCTTAGGAACTAATGGCAAACTGTAATTCAGTTGTTGGTTTAAAAAAACTGGGCTTTTTTTTCCCTTTTACGTCCATGAGCCAAGTTCAGCAAAAGACACCTAGCCTAAAACCCAATCAGTAAGCTGTTAGGAAATTAATTTTTACCAAAGCAAGAGATCAGTGGAGTGTACTGAGGACCACTATTAGCACTAGTGTAAACCACTAGTATAGGACAGAGGGTGAATACCATAGACTGTTGACAAGATGGGTTATTTTCAAAGACTCAAGAAAAGCGAAACTAGCAAATTAAGTAGTGAGGCACCATGTGGCTTTGTCTACACTGCAGGGTTTTTGCACAAGAAGCTGTCCGCAGAAGAGATCTTCTGCAAAAATGCATCCACACTTCAAAAGCACTTCGCAAAAGTGATGTGATTGGACACTCTTGCACAAGAAAGCTCTGATGGCCATTAACAGAATGGCCATCAGAGCACCTGTGATAGGCTCCTTTTCCACAAGAAACCCCTGCGGAGCATCCACACATGCCTTTATGTGCAAGAGATGTAGCACAAAAAGGAGTTATTCCTCAGGGGGAGAGGAACAATTCTACCAGCAAAAGCCCCTTTGTCCTGTCGATTTACTGTTTGAGGTTTTTTTTGCGCAAAAACCTTGTAGTGTAGACATAGCCTGTTAGTATAAGGTAATATTATGCTTGATTGATACATACTTAGGAACCAAGTGTCCATTGCTGGTAGCTTAAAAAGGCTGTTTGTTCAATATGCAGAAGCAATCAAAAGCAATGCGTTAGCAGGGGACAGAACAGTGAATGCTAAACACAAGTGTATGGTACAGTTTGCCTGTGAATACAGTTGTCAGCTTGTCACCCTCTCTCAAAAGGCTGAGATTCATATGAGGTTATTAGACA